TTCTGATTGGTAATGGCTTCATGTTCAGCAACACATGCTTCAACGGTCTGAAGGTTCGGATACATCACTGCAGTTTTCTAAATGCCCAAAAGATCAAATCTACACATGCTTCACCTACACAGCAGGTCAGAGATCTGAAAACTGTGCTTCTCAATCTCTACAGCAAGTTTGTATTAATGGAAACATGGCGATTTTTTTCAGGAGACATCATCACTAACCACTGAGAGGTGAATATGCCATAAAAGAGTATGTCATCCACAGGAGCGCCCTCTGCAGGCAGGAGGGTGTCTATGTCCTGGAGCACATTATAGGGCAGCTCACGGTCAGCTTGGCAAAGCAGCTGAGCTTTTGCGAACGTGGTCCAGCGTCGCTGCAGGGTCCGCTGACCTCCCACATCACTCTGACCAATGAGAGAACACAGTGATCATTTATTTATTATTACAGAAAGAGTTACAGCCCTTTGACAGAATTATGACATGAGAGGAATAACAATCCTGACCGGAGATGGGCAGTAACATGTAATCCGATTACTTTTTTCAAGTAACGAGTAAAGTAAGTCGTTATCAGGGATCTTTGCATTTAGAAAAATATCATTTACTTTAAACTGAATTTCCCAGGTGTTACTAAACAGAGGAAGGAATTTTTGACACAACTTTCCAAATAACTTCATCCAAACTTTTTTTTCTTTCCAAAAAACCAGTAAATACTGAGGTTAACATTATTAGCTCCCCGATGCTATTCTTCACTTTTTGCTGTACATCAGGCTGCAGTCTGTTTTAGCTCCTCCAGGTTTGATGACATGGACTCTTCTCTTCAGTTCACCCACAGATTTTCAGCGGGATCCGAGTCGGAGCTTTGTGCAGGTCCGTCGATAACGTTCACCAGGAGAGACGTATGTTTTGGTTGTTGTCATGTTGGAAGACAAACGACGACCCAGTTTCTGCTGCTGAGTGCTTGAGGTTTAAAAAGGTCACATATCCTTCTTCTTCATACCTTCCATCTTGTGAGATTGTGAACCACATTTCACTGTGGAGACGCTGAATCGTTTTCCTTTCTCCAAAAATAA